GGAATCAATTATACTTTACAATCCGCCACTATCTACTCAACTTTCCAGTCTCTCCCAGTCCGTGTAATGCCTTACTTTTCACATACCAACCATCCCTGGCTCCTTCTAGTGCCTTGAAATCACAGTTGCTTCCTCCCACTTTGAGGCCTGATGACACTTAAACACGACGCCACCTGCTGGCCTGATTAAGGTAAATTTTTAAAGAAAGACGTATTTTAATGAATGAGTGCCAATGCCACAGTCACAGAAGGAAGCCATAACTACCAGTTATGGTTCAATACTTTCAAGCAAACCCTTAAGCAATGGGTGACTGATTCTACCAGAAAGTGGAGCTACTCACATTTGGCTTTCTATAGACTACTTTCAAAGCAAGAACATATCCATTTCTGTATATGTTCAATAATGTTATTTTCTTTTTAAAATTTGATTGAGAGTGCTTGCATTTGCTGAAAAGAGTCAGAGAGAGAGAAAAAAAAAAGGGAACGCACCCCCCAATGGAAGATGGTCACATTATAATTTCTTCTCCTCCATTTCTCCTTTTGGGATTTTGGGCATTCATGTGCACCCAACATGTTTTTCAATCCACTAGGTTCAAGATTCATACTACACAGTAGGCCATGTGTAATTCAGTTACATTAACCATAACAGCCCTGCTGACCAACAGCACTTTTATTTATTTATTTATTTATTTATTTATTTATTTATTGGAGAGGTTTTTGCTGTAGGAGGCGTGCGTTCCCCAGACAGACAGAGAGAGACAGAGAGACAGAAAGCGAGAAATCACCCCCCAGGGGGGATGGCCACGCCGCATCCCTTCTCGCATCCCTTCTCCTCCATTCTCCTCCCAGGATTTTGGGCATGCACACACACGCGCCCGACGTGAGTTTTAAGCCACCGGGTCCAGGACACGAACCGCGTTTGACTACATGGGAGTCCAGCAACATAGCCATTACACTAACTGCTGGTTCCCCTGACAGCACTTTTAATGTTACCTTTTGTCTACAATATTAATAGAGTTCAAATTGTGTTTTTTAAAGAAAAAAATGTGGTAGCTCCAAGAAAAGAACATCAATAGGCTATCTGTACAGTATTTGCCCTACTTTCCCTCCCTCTTGTCTATAAAATAGCAGATACGCTTTATAACAGTGAAATAATAAGGAATATGTTCTTCTTCAAGTTAGAATCTTGTCATATAAATAATCTCAGAACTAATATTTCAAATTTTCAAGTGAAATCTGTGAGGCACAGATGTTTTAGACACTTGGTCATCTCAGACAGTGCCCATTGCATCCTTGTCTCCAAAATCACCTGAATCGCTTGCTGTCCCCCGAGTTTCAGGTATTTCCATTAGGAGGATGGTTATAAATGAGCTTCTCTATCAGGGGCTTTGCTGCCATGCTGAAAAGATGAAGTGTTTTCCCTGTGGGAGCTCTAGGTATGAGGCATCATTTCTTCAAGCTTTAGTAGAGGCCAAAATAGTGGGGTGGGGAAATGAAGAATGAGAAGTTGGGGAGCAATAAAAAACAGGGGCAGTGAAAAAGTTCTCAGTGTGAGACTTGAGTCAAAGGAGTTTAAAGCAGAGAAAGTAAGGGAGATCGAATGAGATGCCCCCTAGGAAGGTAGCATCACACATATCCAGTGCCCAGGAACAGAAGGTTAAATTTACAGGATACTCTGCTTAATGTCACTAATGGCCTCTGCCAATAAGGGGTGTGTCACAGGAAGATGAATGTAGTCTGCCAAGCTACTGTTCCAGTGTTCCCCCGTGGGTTGATTCCAGAACTCCTTAGTCCATTCCAATTAAATCTTAAGATGAACTCTAGCTCAGAGTGTTCAGAGCCTGTGGCCCACTGTACTGGATCACCTGGAAATACCCTAGGGCACTGGCCAGACTGCTCCAGGAATATTTCAAATGGAATGACCAATAACTCATAGTCTCTGTCAGTTTACTGTCATTGGGTGATTAATAAATGGCCCAGTCAGGCCCCTAGATACCCAGTATATACACATGCTATTTTGTGATTCTAGGTAAATGGTGCCCTAACTTACCTTTAAATTAGTTAAGTATCAGCCCTATAAACCATGACCATCCCTGTATTTATTTATTGAATATTTATAGGGAGCCAGAGGCTGAGCTAAATCTTCATGGAATATCATAGAAACACATGGTTCCTGCCTTCAAGATTTATAATCTAGATTCACCTGTGCTTGTATAAATATCCCCATGAGCTCAGATGATAAGGAGGAAAACGGGTGTCTACGGAACACATACTATGTGCTAGAAACTACTTTGAGTGCTCTACTATGTTTTACTGAATTTAATTCTTATAATAATCTTGATGATCCTATGAGGTAGTTGTGATTACTATATCTCATATAGGTAAGGGGTCAAATGGAAACACAAAGTGGTTAGGCACCTTGTCTGGGGGTCACATGGCTAGGAAGAAGTGGAGTTGGGTTCAATTCTAGGTGTTTGGGTGAAAAAAAACAAAACAAAAAAAACAAACAAAAAAAAACCCAGTATCTTAGTTGCTCCCCTAGAATAACCATAGCTATAATTTAGTATTTCCTATGGACCAGGAATGACTGTGCTGTTTTCACATGTGTTACTTTTTTTTTTTTTTTTTTGGAGAGGTTTTTGCCATAGGGCACGTGCACTCACCAGAAAGACAGAGAGACAGAAAGCGAGAAATCACCCCCAAGGGGATGGCCATGCCGCAATCCCTTTTCCTCCATTCTCCTCTTGGGATCTTGGGCACACGTGCACATGCGCCCGGCGTGAGTTTAAGCCACCGGGTCCAGGACTTGAGCCGCAGTCAGTTAGATGGGAGTCTAGCAACATAGCCATTACACCAACTGCTGGTCCCTATGTGCATTACTTTAATGCTCATGTCTAGTGATTATCACCACTTTCATAATGCTTTTTAATTTACCTCCTTTTAACATTTCTGTAATATCGGTATTACTATTATCTCACAGATGAGGAGACTAAGGCCTAACCATGAACTTTTCCCAGAATTCACACCATAGGACTCAATCCTTGATCTGTTTTCTCCAAGGTCTGACTGTCACAGACCTTTCAATAATTTCAGGAAAACACCTTCCAATAATTTCCTAGACAAATACTACCCTACTATAAACAGTAATACTACCATTTGTTAAGTGCTTTACTATTAACATTTGAATTTTCTTGAATCCCATAATAAGTCTAAGTGTCAGCATCTCAGGTTGTAGATTTCAAAACTCAAGTTCCAAATAGAAGAGGTTGGTCTGGAGTCAGACATATAACTGTCCTTCCTAACCTACATTGATTCACTAGTTAAGAAACCAGCATGCTGTTTTACTCCAGTCCTTAAAGGACAAAGCTGAATAAGCCATCCTGCTTCTCTAACTCGCACAACAGAAGACTTTGATATGCTTTTCCTCTTAGGTATCTTCCACTTGGATTTTGGACTTATTTTAAACCCACAGTGGATGTATGTCCATTCGAAGGAGCCAGTCCTCTAACTCCTCTTGGCAAAACTTGTCCCCAGGGTACTTCTTTCCTGATGAGTTACCTTCTTCTCCCTGAACTCTGGTGAAAAACAGAATTTGGGGACCAGCAGATGGCATAATGGTTACATTGCTAGACTCTCACATGGCCGACCATGGTTTGAGTCTTAGACCCGGAGGCTTAAAAGTCACTTCCGGTAGCCTGCATGTGCGTGCCCAAGATCCCTAGAAAAGAAGGGATTGCCACATGGCCATCTCTCCTGAGGGGTGATTTCTCTCTTTCTGCCTCTCTGTCTCTCCTAGGAGTCCAATGCACCCTGTAGCAAAAATCTCTCCCCCCAAAAAAGCAAGCAGAATTTGCCCTTCTCAGAAGATACATACTAAATGAGGCCCTGCTAGGGAAGCTGGTTCTGCAGCTTGCTTTATTTTGACAAGTCTTTGTTCTTTCCTGACCTAGGCTTTGAGTTTTCATTCTGCTTAGTCTCTGGCGTTAATTATCCACAGACAATGGAAAAAGAATTGGGAAAAACACAGAATTTATTTATTTTTACAGATGACTTTTCCAGCCATCTGTGAAGAGGCAGTTCTGGTGATAGCTTGAGAATCTATGACCCATGAACTCCAGGATTTCAGAGAGGCGACAATACTCTTTAGAAGTCATCGGTCCCAGCTTCCAGGCAAGTGGCCAGTGAGCTAGTGAGTGGGACAAGGAAGACAGGAATCCTCTATGCAAAGAATCAGACTACTGTCAACAGTTTGGGATGGTGGGACACCATGAAGGGACAACTCCAGAAGTTCGAGTACAAGACAGGAAGGTGCCAATCTCTCTGGTCACAGTGGTGGCGGTGGTGAAGAAAACAGGCCCACCAGGTCTTCTTCCTGCACTAGGCTTTGAGTTTTCATTCTGCTTAGTCTCTGATGTTAACTATCCACAGACAACAGAAAGAAAATTGGGAAAAGCACAGGGTTTATTTAGAGCCAGTCAACCGGGAGTTGTCCAAATTCCTTGAAATTAATCACTGCAAACTCCCAAAACGGTGCTAAGAGGCAACACAGAACATAAAGGAGAGGCCTGTAATTCGAACTCTCAAAACCCGCGGAGAATGGGTCGGACAACCGGTACGCGCAGGCGGGAACTCACAGCTTTCTCCCAGAGAAGGGACAAAGTGTCCGGGACGCACTCCAGCTGCGCCCGGATCTTGGCTGAGTCGGACGCTCTGGGTGGAGGAGACCGGAGCACAGCGGCTACCCAGCGTGTGCCCAGCCCTCC